TAAATTTAATATTGAATAAATATTGAAAAATACTTCAGATTGGTATCACCCTAATTATCAAATTAGATGTTTATGCCAAAATATAATGTAACCATAGCCACATTTTATCCAATTCAGATTTTTAAGTATAACATGACAAAATAATATTTATGAATATAATCTTCACATCAAAAAAATAAATTAGCCAAGTACAATGGCTCATATCATAATTCCAACCCTTTGGGAGGCTGAGAGGAGTTCAGGGCCAGCCTAGGCAACAAAATGATACCCTATCTCTACAAAATACAAAAAAATTAGCCGGCTAGGGTGGCACATGCCTATAGTCCCCACAACTTGGGAGGCTGAAGTGGGAGGATTGCTTGAGCCTGGGAGGCTGACGCTGTAGTGAGCCATGATCATAGACTGCGAGGCCGTACTCCTAGAGGTTCTGATGCAGTAGGTCTGGGGAAGTGTCTGAGAACACGCGCTTCAACAAATTTCCAGGTGACGTTGATGCTGCAGTCCAGGAACCACACTTGAGAACCACTGCTTTAGCTTAATAAAAAGTAGCACATGTATTTATGCTTTAATCTGTCATGTTATTAAGCCAGATTTAAAGATAAAAAGATTTTAAAAGTTGTTATTTACTGAAGTTCTTACTTAGAAGCTACCAATATAATTTCTGACAATCATTACCAGCATCTAATTTGGCATGTCCTTAACACAGCCTCTAACTTGCAAAAAAATTTATCCCTTTTTATAGACAAGGAACTAGGCCCAGAGTGCTAAAGTTGCATTGTTAAGTGACAACCCCCAGCAGCTAAGAACCTACCAGAGTGTACCAGGCACAGTGCTAGTTAAGAAAAAGGTAAGTTAGATAGAGCCCTGTCCTCAGGGTGTTCATTCTGGCAGACTAAACAAAAAGCAAGGTGCTAGGAGAAAAGCAGAGAGAAGAAAGTTAACATCTACTTCCAGGGTAATACACACCATTAGCTCTTAAACCATGAACCTCACAATTTAGATTTTTGTAGAGTCTTTTATCAGACTTTGTTTCCTGTAGCTCTGCTCCAACCTGACTGTCTTCTCCCTAAGAACCCAAGTTTTCATATCATTCATAAGATCCTAACAGGAGTTCCATAAAACTCATGAAGTGGAAGGCTGATGGGCTGACTTTCCAGTATGGCAGCAACTGTCCCTTATTTGTCTAAAATGACACGTTTCTGAAATATATGCAAGGACCCTGGATTTTTTAAAAACAAGATACCTTCTTAATATTACTGTTTCTTTGCACTTAAAACAAGCCTGTCCAACCCACAGCCCTCATGAGGCCCAGAATGGCTTTGAATGTGGCCCAACTCAAATTTGTAAACTTTTGTAAAACATTATGAGATTTTTCCAATTTTTTTTCTTAGCTCATCAGCTATCGTTAGTGTATTTTACTGTGGCTCAAGACAATACTTTTTCCAATGTGGCCCAAGGAAGCCAAAAGATTGGACATCGCTGACTTAAAACTTAATTGCAGCTGTCTTTAACGATGTCTAGTTTTGGGAGAGGCAGCACAAGGCAGAGCATCTGGGTGGTGGTGGGGTTGTGCCCGTGGAGAGAGGTGGCTGCGGCTGCTGGTGAGGGGGGAATGATGTTTGGTTTAATCAACAGTATTACTAATATGGATTTCTTTCACTCAAGACATGTGAGTATCCAAGACATACTGCAACAGCTAAGTTTTGGTAGAGAAGACAGAGCCAGCCAAGGAAATACAAGCTAAGAAAACTGAGGATCTACTAGACAATCAGAGTCAAAAAACAGGAGTGGTTGTAAGGACATCCAGAAACAATTTCACGAAGGGTGTAGTCAACAGCGTCAGGTAAGTTATTGAGCAGTCAGGTAAGGTAAACATTAAAAGTAACACGTCTTAGTCATCAGATCTTAAGTGAGAGCACAGAACCCAGAATTAGAGTGGGGTAATTTACTAAAGTTCTTACTTAGAAGCTACCAACATAATTATTGGAAATCATTACCAACATCTAATTTGGCATGTCTTTGAACCAGAATCTAACTTGCCTAACAATTTATTATCCCTTTCTTATAGATGAGGAATTAGAGGAATTATGTGAGGTAAGGAAACAGACAGAAAGGATAACTGGTTTGATAAATGTGACTGTGAGGGAAGGAAAGAGGTTCAGTGGTAGCAGGATAGGTAGGAATGGAAGGGGTTGAGAGATGACTAGTATTTTGTTTTCAAAATGAGAACTAGTATGGACCATGAAAGCATTCGCTTCTATTGACTTGCACCAATATTATGGTAATAATAGGAAAAAAATTTTTTTATTCCAGCAAAAAGCATTACCATATAATTTTTCAATTCCCTTGAACTGGGCATAAAGGTCTCTCACTTTGCTGGGTAATGAATAAAAAGGACCAAGGTCATTTGATGATGACTCAATTGTTTTCTTAGCAACATTAATTTCCTCAGATAGGAGAGTGTCTTTGAGCTGTTTACTTCTAGAAAATACTGGTGTCTGGGCCTTGGCATTTCCAGTCATGGCACTTTTTAGATGATCTTTAATACTTTTTCTCCTGTTCATATCTGAACTAATTCTGACTTTGGAAGAGGCCTCATCATTTTGCTGGGGTTGCTCTATGCAATTATGGGGCAGTTCCTCATTCACAGTGTTGTGAGAGGATGACTTCCAATCCCTTTCTTTCATAGAACAATTGCCCAAATCATTTGAAGACTTCTGTAAATTTTCAAAGTATATGGCCTGTGAGGTAGGTACATCATACAAAAGATCAGCTCCAGGTTCAACAGTGACACCTTCATATCCACTCTGGTTCTCTGTGTGCTTATCAGTTTGTAATTCAGTAAGGTTGCCTATGGTAGTAATGCTGAGTTTGTTTTTGATACTTTCTGAGTAAAGATTTTCAGTGGCAAAATCTGTAGCATGTTTCTTATGTGCAGGAAGTTGCATATATTTTTGTTCCAGGTCGTCAACTTGAGCTATAAAGGAGTTTTCAGTAAAGCTATCATAGTCACCAAACATGTCCTCTTCACTGTCATTATGCTGCAAAGAGAACAAACACGCTTATGGTCAATTCCAGTTTCATTAAGAATAAAAGCTTCACCAGCCTGGCCAACATGGTCAAACCCAGTCTCTACAGAAAATATAAAAATTAGCTGGGCACACTGGCACTCTCCAGTAGCCCCAGCTACTTGGAGGCTGAGGCATGAGAATTGCTGGGAAGCAGAGGTTGCGGTGAGCCGAGATCGTGCCACTGCACTCCAGCCTGGGCAACAGAGTGGGACTCTGTCTCAAAAACAACAACAACAACAACAACAAAAACCCAAAAAACACTTCAGCCTAGGGCTGTACCAAGTATATAATTATATGGTCACATATGGATCATAGACCTATATGTAAATAGATATCATCACCAATTTACAGCTGAAGAAATGGAGGCCCAAAGAGGTTAAATTACTTGGCTAAACAGCGGGTTTAGGAGTGTTACGATGATACTGAGATTCTAATTTTTGAGACAAGGTCTGGCTCTGTCACCCAGGCTGGAGTGCAGTGGCTGCAGCCACTTTTTTCTTTTTTCTTTTTTTTTTTTTTTAATAGAGACTGGGTCTCTGTTGCCTAGGCTGGTTTTGAACTCGAACTTCTGGGCTTAAGTGATCCTCCCATCTCGGCCTCCTAAAGCACTGGGATTATAGGCATGAGACACCGCACTTGGCCAGATTCTAATTGTTAAAGCTATACTAAAACAGCAGGAAGACTGGCAGACGTCTACTGAAATGTCAGTGCATTCGAAGTTTCTGATAACTGCAGCGCTTCCCTCTCAGACTACAATCTACAGAGACTGGCCTGTAACAGAAACATGGTTGTACCCCTAGACACTCCAAGGAGTTCCTAGGAATTTGGAATTGAGACTGATAATCTGAATACTGACTTGGAGTGGTCTACTACACATTAGAAAAACAAACCTGGAGGCAGCAATATAGTAAAGTGATTACGACAACAGGATTTGGAGCAAGAACTGTAGTATCTCAACTTTTCAGGGCCTGATTACTGTTGTAAAATCTAGACAATGTAACTAGTTTAACATAATGGGTCTTCAATAAACAGCAGATTTTATTTGTACAGTAGGAGCTGCAGTTATTTGGAAGCCTAGATTTGTGTTTCCGTCAGCCACTTATTTGCTGCGTGTACAACTTTTATGTCTCGGGGTTTACATTTCATATTTATATAGAGGCAATCAATACCTCCTAAGTGCCGATTAACAGTGGTAAAGAAAAGTAAACGAAGGCGATAAAACTGGTCAACTCTTTGCATCTGGGAAGGATGCCAAAAGTTTGCAGTTTCAAGTTCCAAGCCCTTCGTACCTGGTCTCCCACCCCTCTGTCAGTGGGCATGCGACGTAGGAGGTCCGGGTTTGTATCACCACCTCCAAGGACGAGACATTCGGGGGAATCTGAGAGTAGAAGGGGCTGTACCTCGACCGGCAGTACGCCCGCGGTTTTCCGCCGCCTGTTCTCAGCCACCATTTCCTCCTCCTCTTTCCCCTCATCTCCGGGCTCGAGCTCGGCCGCGGTGGGAGCGACAAAAATGCACCCCAGGCTTGGACGGTTCCTTTTGGGGAGAGACACCCGCCGGCGGATGCGGGAACCACCTTCATCCATGGCAAGGATCCAGGGCCCTATTCAGACGTCGTTCTCAGTGACCCAGAAGCTAAGCCCAAATGGAAAGGAGAGTGGGAGGCCAGCGCCCGCTTCTACATCCACCTTGGGAAAAGACCCCAAGTTAGTGCTCTGGGCTCGCGGACCGGAAGCAAGCATAAACTTCTACGTTCTCCTTCTCCAATCATAAGCCTCACGTGACCTGCAGCGTAGCGAGGGCTAGAACAGAAAGGTGCTGCGCATGCGTATTGAAAAACCTCACCTACTCTCGCGGGTCCTCAGCGTTCTCCTGCGGAACCTTTGAACCGCGTACTCGAGTCCACAGCGGAAAAGCAGAGGAAGGGGCCTTTCGGAACGATTCGGAGCGAAAGGAAGTGGAACAAACGCGGAACCATGGCGGCTATGGTTGCTGTTTGCGGTGGTCTAGGGAGGAAGAAGTTGACACGCCTGGTAACGGCTGCTGTCAGCCTTACACATCTCGGGACTCAAACGGGTAAAGTCTCCATATTCCATGCTCCGTTGTAGCGTTGCAGGCATTAACCTTAGTCCTAATGGTTGGTGGAGTCGTCCCTGTTAGCAAAACGACTCTAGTTTCTAGGCAATTTTCTCCAAGATGGTTGGGAATCTGTAATCGCCTTTGACTGTTTTAGAGTCGTCTAATCCACTCCTTTCTTTAAACGTATGAGGAAGCTAGAGTGGTTCTTAATTAAAAAGCAGAGACTTTCCTAAGATCTCCGGATAATCTTAGTGAGGAAGGGGCATTTCCAGAGTCGCCCAGTAGCAAATTCCAGTTGTCTAAGGTCCCCAAACAGAACAAAATTGTGTAATTTTTGCCATTTTATCTTCTCTGTGTTTCTCTATAAATTCTCTCTGGGACGGGTCTGTTACTCATTTTCTTTTTGTATGATAGTGCCTGTTGCTTCTCCTGTAAGAATTTGCATTAAGAATTTTCTCTAACCATGCGAATGAAGGGAAAATCAATGTCAGAAAGAGAGCAGGTATGGGTGGGAAAATACGTGCTTTTGCCCCAAAGCCCTGGAAAGCACACCCATGTTGAGTCTTACTCTGTCCCAAATATAAAGGTTTTTAACCAGTCATTCTGAATATAATGAATACAAAACCTTTAATATCGTGTCCCTTAGTTCATCCTGTCTCCATAAAAACAAAAATATTTAGCTATTCAGCTATGAAAAATAAATAGTTAATTGCTGTTTCTGTTTAATCACAGTGCTTTGGAGAAGAGGTTGTTCACAATATAAACAGGTATCCAGCAACGAGGACCTGGTAAGAATTTTTTTTTCTATTAGTAAGGCATTTGCAAATATGACCAAATTTTTTTTTCTTTTTAAAACGAGAACTGGTATTAGACTCTAACATCTTTTATTTTAGCTACTTGAATAGAGTTCTGCTGTAGGACAAAACAATTAGATAATTACTCTGAGTTCAGAAATGATGATGAATTGATTGTAGTCAGTTGAGTTTGGAACTAGGGGAATTCCTAGATTAGAAGCAAAGCTGCTATAATACCATATTTTTCTTCCTAGATCTTAAATTTAAGGATATGTGATTTGGGAATCGGTGTCTTTACATAGCCCTTTATAAGCAAATGATTTGGGAATTTTAAAAGGTAGTTTGGGTGAGTAGAATTTTAGATAACTGAAAAGAGACTGTACAAAGCTTAGCTATAGGTTGGCTATAGTATTAGCATGGACTTGAAAGCACAGGTTGTTACTACATGCAAAGGTACTTTGACACTAATCAGACCATACAAAGCACTTGGCACAGAGCTGAATAGTAGTCACGTGAGCTGAATGTAAATTGGAAAGTTTGAAGAATTGGAAAAAACAAAAGAACTTGTCTAGTTTCTCTGAGCATCTGTCTTGGTAATCTAATCCATGCACCATACTTTAAGAAAGTAAAGGGACATTATTCCTTTTTTAGTTCATAAATCCCACTTTGTCTCTAATCAAAGTTATGGACCCTCTCCACAGAAAAAGGCACAAAGTTCCATTCATTTGAAGTTTTGCATACGATTACAGGGAGTCATGGGCTTCAGAGCCATTTCTAGATTAAGAACCTCTATCCTGGAGACAGCCATACTGACAGTAGGAGGGAGGCACTGTGGCAGAAGCATTAGGGCAGTGGTGGTAACAGAAAAGCCAGAAAGGCTAATGCAAACTTATATAGTAGCCTGGGGTGATAAAGTCAAAACAACCTTTTATTACAGTAAGTCATGGGCCATTATGTATAAAAATAGTGAAAAAATACTTGATAGAGACATGGAGATGGATAAATTAGGGATTGCACTCATTTAAGAATGCCGTATGTTATCTATTGTGTTACAAGTTTTCTTAAATCTAAAAATTTTTTCATTATCTACAATCTGAGCAAAGCATTGCAACAATCACTTTCTTATCAGACATCATTTTTGTTCTGCCGTAAACTCTTTTATTCTACAAAGATTGTACTTTATTCCAGAATCTTCCCATGAGTTCATTTGTAGGCTAAACTGAAACAAAATAAAGTGCTTATATAAAATATGTACACAGTAAGAAAGGTATAACTAATCCTTTGAATGGATTTGAATGTAGAATAGTAACCTTTTAAAATTCAGAATTAACACATCCTATTATCACACTTTCGTTTTTTTCCCTAGCCCATTACAATGGAAAATCCTTATAAAGAACCTCTTAAGAAATGTATCTTGTGTGGAAAGCGTGTAGATTATAAGAATGTACAGGTGAGATCTGGTTTTACTTCACTATATTTTAGGGTTTTTCTTCTGATAGATCTGCTTAAAGAGAATCAAGTCAGTTTATAGCAGGCTTTTGTAGAGGTAACTGTTTTAGCAGCTTCATAATTTCAAATTTGGTTATAATTCTATGTATAAGCATATCTCTGTTTTATTCAAGTAAAAGCACCTTGGCTCTCCCCACTTACTATTATTTCCACTCTGTGTTTTTCACTACACCAAACATCTTAATAGCTCACTGTAATTTTTTTTTTTTTGACAGAGTTACAATTCTGTCAAAATTCTCAATTGGAGAGGGTCAGAACTTTGGAAAAAGCTCATATGGTGAAGCTGATCTCTTTACCTCACCACCCATATCACTGATTCACATATTACTTATCTCTTGTCTAACTCTCAGCAAGTTAGAAGTTGCAAATTTGGGGCAAGTGAATAGCGCTACAATTCTGTATGTTGGCCGGGCGCGGTGGCTCACGCCTGTAATCCTAGCACTTTGGGAGACCAAGGCGGGCGGATCACCTGAGGTCAGGATTTTGAGACCAGCCTGGCCAACGTGGTGAAACCCCATCTCTATTAAAAATACAAAAATTAGCTGAGTGTGGTGGTGCATGCCTGTAATCCCAGCTACTTGGGAGGCTGAGGCAGGAGAATTGCTTGAACCCAGAAGGCAGAGGTTGCAATGAGCCGAGATCGTGCCATTGCACTCCAGCCTGGGTGACAAGAGCGAAACTGTCAAAAAAAAAAAAAAAAATTCTGTATATTGATAATAGTATAAGGTGATAGCTGCCTTTGAGAGAGAACCAAGAAATTACAGAAACACACGTACTAGGAAGATTATGCAAAGTGCCAAGAATAATGACTGGCACCTAGAAAGTTCTAAATAAGTATTTAAATAAAACATAAATTATAGCAAATGCCTGGTGTACTTGTACCTCTGGAAAATCTCAGTACCCTCTGATAATTTATCTTAATGATTATTATCAGAGGGTAATGTGATAACTTGTCATGATAGATGAAGTTTTTTAGTAGCTTGTTTCAAGCAATATTTTAGAAAAGTATCTGTGGAGGTCAAGAAAACAGATTTAACATTGAATGAATATGCTGATTAATCTGCTATTTAATTATATATAGACTTTTGACACACTAGAAAATATTTAAAAGGTAACAGGATGGATAACTATTTTTTCTCATATTTCATGAAATATGTCTGAAATGTAGTAAAGCTTTATATAACTTGAAGGTTGTTTTTTGAAATTTACATATTCAGAAATAAATAACAAATACTTTTTTTTCCCCTCCGAATAAAACTCCAAAACAGCTTTTGTCCCAGTTTGTTTCTCCATTTACTGGATGCATTTATGGAAGGCACATTACAGGTATTTTGTTTTTTATCATGGGAATATATATGTAGATAAGAATTATATCAATGTATTTCTGTCATTTAAGAAAACTGTCAAATTTTCAAATTGTGCTATAAATTACTACTAGATCAGATACTACAGGGACTAGAGCTAGTTACTATGAAAAAGCCTCCTAGGCCAAGGGGATTATTATTTTGCTGTCTTATGCAGAGTTAACTATATAGAAAACTTGGGCTTTACAAAACTGTTGTTGGTGTTTTGGAAGATCCTATAATCATTCCTAGATTGATACTTAAACTTGGTGTCAGCAAACTATGGCCCATAGGTCAAATCCAACCTGCCCCCTTTTTATCTTGATTAGGTTCATCATATACAAATGCCACCTTTTTTTTTTTTTTTTTTTTTTTTTGAGATGGAATCTCACTCTGTCACCCAGGCTGGAGTGCACTGGCACAATCTCGGCTCACTGCAACCTCTGCCTCCTGGGTTGAAGCGATTCTCATGCCTCAGCCTCCCGAGTAGCTGGGATTACAGGCATGCACCACCATGCCTGGCTAATTTTTGTATTTTTAGTAGAGATGGGGTTTCTCCATGTTGGCCAGGCTGGTCTTGAACTCCTGACCTCAGGTGATCTGCCCACCTAGGCCTCCCAAAGTGCTGAGATTACAGGCATGAGCCACTGTGCCCAACCCCACTTGTTTTTGCAGTTTTGTTTACATAGTGCCATATGGTTGTTTTCGAGCTACAACAGCAGAGTTGAGTGGTGGTGATGGAGACTGTATGGCCCAGAAATCCTAGATTATTATTATTCTAGCACTTGACAAAAATGATTTACCAACCCTTGACTTAAAAACTTGTTGAGGCTGGGTGTGGTGGTTCACGCCTGTAATCCCAGCACTTTGGGAGGCTGAGGTGGGCGGATCACCTGAGGTGAGGAGTTCAGGACTAGCCTGGCCAATATGGTGAAACCCTGTCTCTACTACAAATACAAAAAAATTAGCTGGGTGTGGTGGTGCACACCTGTAATCCCAGTTACTGAGGAGGCTGATTCAAGATAATTGCTTGAGTCTGGGTGGCAGAGGTTACAGTGAGGCGAGAGTGCGCCTCACTGTACTCCAGCGAGACTCTGTCTCAAAAAAAAAAAAAATTGCAAACTTTAAATATTGACATTTTTTATGAATAAGAAAGCTTTTTATTTTACAGGTCTTTGTGGGAAGAAACAGAAAGAAATCACAAAAGCAATTAAGAGAGCTCAAATACTGGGTAAGAAAGAACACCTCAACAACTGAATTGAGCTAGCTGAAGTTTTGTTCATTATGTTTTCTCAAGAACTTTAATTATCTCTTTACAGGGTTTATGCCAGTTACATACAAGGATCCTGCATATCTCAAGGACCCTAAAGTTTGTAACATCAGATATCGAGAATAAATTATATCACGTTTCCACCAATAAACTTATTTTACAGTAAGTGGTTGTATGATGCCAATATTGACTCAAACCAAACTTTGGATAGAAAAGTGTTTGAGGAGTGAGGTAAAGAATGACACTTCCAGCTGGGCGCGGTGGCTCAAGCCTGTAATCCCAGCACTTTGGGAGGCTGAGACGGGTGGATCACAAGGTCAGGAGATCGAGACCATCCTGGCTAACACGGTGAAACCCCGTCTCTACTAAAAAATACAAAAAACTAGCCGGGCGAGGTGGCAGGCGCCTGTGGTCCCAGCTACTCCGGAGGCTGAGGCAGGAGAATGGCGTAAACCCGGGAGGCGGAGCTTGCAGTGAGCTGAGATCCAGCCACTGCACTCCAGCCTGGGCGACAGAGCCAGACTCAGTCTCAAAAAAAAAAAAAAAAAAAAAATGACACTTCCCTTCATACCAATGTCCATTAAGCAGATTGCTTATTTAAAATGTTAACACTCATCACATTTTACATATGTTGAATAAAAGTGGTTCTGTGTGATTTTCATTTATATCTGATTCCCAAATAGCTCATACAATAATCCATTCAATTGAATGGAATTAAAACTGCTCAGAATGATTTTCCAACTAGCAAATGTAAGTATGCCTGGTTAAGGTATCTTCCCTTTGTAGAAATGTTACATTGGGATGGATAGTGGTGTTGTCACAGGAGGACAAAATATTCCTAGACAAGTCTATCCTCAAACCAGTAGTGTCTTTTACATAAAGATGATTTACACCTAATAGACATTGAATATGATAGACATGTATGTATATATGTACCAATTCTGAGTTCCACTGGCCTATCCCAAATACACTTGATTACCAGGCTTGTACTGTATTCAAAATGATGGATTTGCTAAATTTCGTGCAAAGGACTCTAGGGGAGAGATTACTGTTTGTGTTGCATTATAGTTGTGTAATAATTAAGGCTGCCAGATTTAGCAAGTACAAATGTAGGACAAATTTAAATTTTAGATGATGTTTTGCAAATTTATTGCATGGTATCCAGCATTTTATCTGGCAACTCTAGCCATAACGTACTTTTTTCATATAAATTTCCTTCCATATTGTGAAAATAAGGCTATTGTTGATTTTCCAATTTTTTCTTTTTTAATAGAGATGGGTCTCAATACGTTGCCCAGGCTGGTCTCTAACTCCTGGCCTCAATCCTCCTGCCTTGTCTTCCCTAAGTGCTGGGATTACAGGTGTGAGCCACTGTGCCTGGTCTCACTTTTCTAATTCTAAAGAATGTTTCTGTGTAAGCCTTCCCCTCAACAACTTAGTGAAAGGTGAAAAAAAGGTTTGGAAATAAAAGCATCTCATGTTTGAAAAAGCACTTTGTGAAATAAATGCACTAAGACTTATCTGTGTACTACTGCAAACAGGTGAACACAGTAAAAACAAATGAACTTACTGCAAGTAGCTCAACATAGTAAAAACAATAGAAATGTTTGGCTTTACCCATCAGCCAAATAAAAAAAATCTCCTTTTAAGGTTAAAAGGATCAAAATGTAGGAGACCGTGAATATTCACCAAAACCCTTCATCTTCTCAATTTCTTCATCCGTTTCTGGGCTGCTCATTTTGGACGCTTTATCTTGGTTACTACTATCAGTATCTGCTTTAGATCGTTTATCTTGTGTATCTAACAACCGTGATCTCTTGAATTGCCATCTGTCATCTAAGTCTAAGGCTTTATGCTTAATGATTTGTGGTGTACTAGCTGAACTAGCTTCAGGGATGCCAGTGTGTTCTACCATTAAGGTCAGATTGTCTACTACGTCGAGGTGGTGGTTGATGTTACAGCTACTTTTAGAAACATGTCTACTTTTTAAAGACATAACACATGAATGAAGAAATTCAGAATTTGGAAAAAAGGTCCGTAATGCTTGGCAAAGAAAAATATTCTCTTGAGGGTCTTTTTGGATGTTCTTCTCTCCTAAACAAAATAGAGTAACAGTTCAACATACAACATTTCTTCTACAAAGCTTTTATAATTAACTATTGTAAAATTAAGTCAAAAAGATTTTAACAGTTTTATTATCTAAAGTGAGAATAACATACATAATTCTGAATTCTAATTTATATGCCACAGTATTCTAAGACAAAATTAAAGTTGTGTTCTTTCATGTCAGCAATATAGCTACTGTAGTATTATGTTCTTTAAAAGCACAGGAAGGGCCGAGCGTAGTGGCTCACGCCTATAATCCCAGCATTTTGGGAGGCTGAGGCGGGTGGATCACTTGAGGTCAGCAGTTGAAGATCAGCCTGGCCAACATGGTGAAACCCTGTCTCTATTAAAAATACAAAAAAATTAGCTAGGCATGGTGGCAGGCACCTGGAATCCCAGCTTTTTGGGACGCTGAGGCAGAAGAATCGCTTGAACCCAGGAGGCAGAGGTTGCAGTGAGCTGAGATCACACCACTGTACTCCAACCTGGGTGACAGCGACACTCTATCTCAAAAAAATAAAAAATAAAAATTTTTAGCACAGAAAGTAGAGACGTGTTGTTTACTTACGTGCTGCCTGAATCTGTGCTCGTTTCCTTTTCTCAATTTCTCGTTTTAATCTGTTTACATCCTTTACTAGTTTATCTACTGCTTGTTCACTGTCTTCTACCTTTTTGCATATACTCTGCAAAATAAAATAATTGAAGGGCATAGGTTAAGATTTCAACCTCTGTACTAACATAGTCTGGATTCACAAATAATATAAAGTCATTGGTGGTATATAATACCGAAAACTATTTGCCTTTTATATACATTTTATTTTCTGGAGGACCTCAGTAACAAGCACTTGTAGGTTATAAATAAGCCTTATATGTTATAAAATGCGTTTTCAGAGGTAGTAACTTCTCATTTATACAGTTTTTATCATGCCAGTTAATTTCACTGAAAATACACAGAAATAAACTGAAATATGAACTCATGGGCCAGGCTGCAGTGGCTCACGCCTGTAATCCTAACACTTTGGGAGGGTGAGGCGGGCAGACTACCTGAGCTCAGGAGTTTGAGACCAGCCTGGGCAACATGGTGAAACCCCATCTCTACTAAAAATATAAAAAATTATCCAGGTGTGGTGATGCATGCCTGTAGTCCCAGCTACTCGGGAGGCTGAGGCACGTGAATTGCTTGAGCCCAGGAAGCAGAGGTTGCAGTGAGCCGAAATCACACCACTGTACTCCAGCCTGGGCAATACAGTGAGACCCTGTCTCAAAAAAAAAAACAAAAAAACTTTGAAACAAAAAATACAGATGCAGAGTTACTGCATACTAACACTAAGAAACTCACAGTAAGTGAAAACAAAGTGACTTTTACTATTATGAAAGGATACTATTGAAGAGTTTTTCCTGTAAGACACACTACTTTTGAAAAGCAGATCAGTTCTGTGTGTCTTTAGTTTTAAAAGTATGAATACCAATAACTTTTGATGCCATAATTCCATTCGGGAATATATCTTAATAACAACAAAAATATAAGATGATGTTTCTTAGTATAACATAAAACAACTGGGGGAGGGGAGAACATTTAAAAAAAAAAACTAATTTCCAATTGTAGGCTAATAGTTGTTTTGCCAGTTTTAGTGGACACTTTTTAGGATGTCTGCCAAGCCTACTTTTTACAAACTTTTTGCCTTGACATAAGAGTTTTGCCAGTTACCCCTGTACCCATCTTTCACCCGAGCTGACCCAAACAGAACCAATTAGATTCTTGCCTGGCAATCTGGAGGTATCACATAGCCAATTGGCAAATCTTATGCTCTAGAAGACATCTAAATGCAGGAGCTATAGGTTGGCTGTTTTCTGGCCTGCCAGTGGATGAAGAAACAAAAACGTCTGGAAGGATAACAATGTGCAGACAGAAAGTTCTATTGGCTTTCTAGCTCCTGGTTACAATTCCTTCCTAAAGTTCAGCTGCTTTCTGCTTATAGTTCTTATGATATACCTCTACGTTACATTCCCTATTTTAGCCCAAGTTGATATTTTTCCATAACATTGCTCTATGAAATATATTGCCATTAAAAATAAAGAGGCCAGGCATGGTGGCTCACACCTGTGTACTTTGGGAGGCCGAGGCAGGTGGATCACCTGAGGTCTGGGTTTCGAGAGCAGCCCGGGCAACATGGCAAAACCCCGTCTCTACTAAAAATACAAAAATTAGCCTGGCATAGTGGTGGGTGTGTGTAATCTCAGCTACTTGGGAAGCTGAGGCAAGAGAATCGCTTGAACCTGGGAGGCAGAGGTTGCAGTGAGCCAAGATCGCGCCATTGCACTCCAGTCCGGGCGACATACTGACACTCTGTCTCAAAACAAACAAAAAAAAAAAATGCAAAAACAAAACAACTAAAGAATATGTAGCAACAGGAACAATGTTTGATGTATCAAATTTTTTAAAAATCATGACACAAATTTATGTCACTGTGACTGTCAACTATATCAAAGTATACATATATTAAGGAAAAACTGGAGCACATGGCAGAGTGAAAATAGTTATGTTAACATAGTGAGAGTCCAGGCTGGATGTGGTGGCTCACACCTGTAATCCCAGTACTTCAGTACCTTGGGAGGCCAAGGAGGGTGGCTTGTTTGAGCTCAGGGGTTGGAGACCAGCCTGGAAACATGGTGAAACCCTGTCTCTACACAAAGTACAAAAAAAAGCTGGGCATAGTGGTGCACACCTGTGGTCTCAGCTATTCTGGAGGCTGAGAGAGGAGGATCACTTGAGCCCAAGAGGTGGCGGTTGTAGTGAGCTGAGATCATGCCATTGCACTCCAGCCTGGGCAACAGAGCAAGACACTGTCTCTAAAAAATAAATAAAAGGGTGAGATTCTGGATGTTTTCACCATCTAAAATTCCTGTTTCATATGAAAAAAGTAGTGTAATACGAATCAAAATATTTTAACTGCTTTTCTGTTAGTGTGCTCTACTGATGAGTATGGTGGCTTAGTAAGGAGTATGGAAATATACTCCTTACTAAGATCTCCAACTGGGGAAAGC